CACATTACCAACCACTCCTCCATCCCACAAAACACTTGGCAGATAACTTTGCCTTTTGTGTCACAGAGAAAATATCAGGAAGAACCTCCCTTAAATTCCAGCCCTTTCCCTAACCTTTGCGCTACCATACTGCCCTTTCTATCGTAGTGTATTTGTACTTAGAACATTGTATTACGGTTACCGTATTTTGCTCACTGAACAGTTTAACCTGTGGCCTTGGAGCCACATGTGGCCTTCTGGATCCTTGAGTGCACCCTTTTGACTGAAACCAAATTTAACAGAACAACTCCTTTTAATAAAGGGATTTGTTCTATGAAGTTTGGATTCGGTCTCAGGGCCACATGTGTCTATGAGACTGCAAGTTCCCCACCCCTGGAAGCTATTTATTTGTGTCCCCTAGCACTTGCAGAGTACCTGGCATATGGTAAATATTCAATAAATGTTGAATGAAAATAGTCTCGTGTGTGAATACCTCTCTCTCCTAGTAAGGAGGGTCCCTTCTCTTGTTCTGTACAATTGCGCTGCTTATTTGATCCTGTCCATCCCTTCATATCTGCTCTGGAACTTTCTCCATCAAGAGAAAGAGAAGTCCCTTTTCTTTCTCATGTTTCCAGCCTTTTCACTGTAGCCCAAGAGTATGTTTAAGCCTTCCACTTAGAAGTGTATCTACCTCAACCAGTCTGGAAAAAAATCACACTCTTTAGCACTACTTCACTTTGAAATTTGCTTCAGTTGGACTTTGTCTGTTCCACCACTTCACTGAAACTGCCAGCAGAGGTTACCAGTGACCTCCTAATGGCCATGTCCAGTGACCAGCTACTCATTGTAGTCTCCTTGTGCTTTCTGTATCATTTCAAGTTACTGACTCGTCCCTTCTTCCTGAGAATTTGTCTTTGACTTTTGTAATACCAGCTTCTGATTCTTGTATACTTTTTAAACCATTTTGTCTCAATTTTAGTGATGCCTTTTTCTCTTTCTTACTTAGTCTTTTCATTTCCTCATTATTGTTTTTCTGTCACACAAAAAACTGTGAAAATTGTCCTCTTCTCTCTGTTCTTCTCGGTGACTGCCTTATTTTTAGGTTCTCATTTCCTCTCTGAATTATCATACCTGTTTTCTGTCTTATCTCCATGCCTTCAGATTCTCCACACCACCCTTTCCAGTCCATTGGCAACCCTGTTGCCAAAGCAACTTTTTAAAACCAATGTACTGCTTGCAGCTCTTCCATAGCTTTATCAGTAGGATAAAACACAAACTCTCTTAGACTATTCCCCAACCCTCCCCATTTATTTCATATTATTAACAACAGTTTTAGATATATCTTTAGTTCCTTGGCTTTTGTCCTTTGGTTATATTGGTCCGTTTTTTCTGGAATTCCCTTTTTTCCCCCCAGATCTTCCTAGGAAATTCTTCACAACTCTACAAAATGTAGCTTTTCTGTGAAATATACTGGTACCTTATCTTGAATTGACAACCTCCTTATATCTATTGTGGTACTAATCGCACTACTCATAGTTTCCCCTCCCCGCCTTCCTATCCCTGGATGGTGAGCTCTTTAAGAATTGTGTCTTACCTATCTTTTTACTCACAAGTCCTGATACATAGTAAGCATTCAGTAAAATTATTATAATGGGCGAGAATACATGTTAAACATTCTTAATTATGGTACAGATATGAGAGATTAGGAATTTAGTTTTAGTTACCTAGAAAATAAGTGTATGTGGAATACTGTTTTGCCCAGCTATGCAAAATGATACATACTCATTTGTTCTTTTGTTTGCCTGTTATCTCATCCTATTAGCAAATAACATGAGAGGAGTGTAAGTTAAAAAGTGTTAAGAGGATACTGCAGAGGTGTGGTCCAGGATTAGCACTGTGTGTTGGTAGCTTCATTCATTTCTCTGCTCTTTCACAAATGATAGGGACACCAGGCAGGAAAAGATACTACATTATTGCCTTTAACACTGATCTTTATGGCTGCCTCTGCATGTTGTTAACATACTACCTAGAAAGTTTTTGTTTTAACTTTTAAAAATTGTGAACTGTGTATACTGTAGACTATGTACAGTTTAAAGAATAATAATAAGGCAAACACCAGTATATCCCTCACTGACTGGGCTGATGAAACCGAAGTCTTCTGTGTGTGTTTCCTCAATTGCGTACCCCTCCTTTTCTCTCCAGAGGGAACTCCTATACTGAAATGTATTAATTATTCACTTTTTTTGGTAGTTTTATCACATATATATGTATTTCTGAGTAATTATCATTTAGTTTTGTTCATTTCAAACTTTATTAGAATGGAATCATCGTATGTATTCTTCAGTACTTTTTGTTTTTGCAATTCATTTTCATTGCTATGTTATTAGTGTTGCATTGCATACATATACTACAACTTATCTACTCTCCTATCAATAGATATAATTTTCAATTTTTTATTATTATAAACAGTGCTGATATGAACATGTCCTGGATACACATGCGTAAGAGTTTCTTTGAGATAGTAGTTTGCAACCAGGTTTAGCATTGCCCCAGTAAGGGGCATTTAGAAATTATGGAGGTGTTTTTCATTGTTGCAGTGATTATGGGGCACCTCTGTCATTAAGTGGACAGGGGAAGGGGATGACAATGATACTGAAATGCACAGCACATTGTTCCACCATATTGGCAGCAGTGACTTAATTGAGTTATAATGCCCCAGGATTATTTAGAGTAAAGTTACTGTATTTTAGAGTATAGATACATACAACTTACCGAAGTAATAGCAAATTGTTTTCCATAGTTGATATTCCTCCACTGGGCTATGAGAATGCTCATTGTCGACTTCCTTGCCAATACTTGATATGATCAGACTTTTATTTGTTTTTTGTTTTTGTGAGACACAAAGTCTCACTCTGTTGCCCAGACTGGACTGCAGTGGTATGATCATAGCTAACTGCAGTCTCCAACTTCTGCGCCCAAGTGATCCCCCTGGCTCAGCCTTTTAAGTAGCTGGGACTACAGGCATGCACCACCATGCCCAGCTAATTTTTTAAAAATTTTTTTGTAGAGACAGGGTCTTGCTGTGTTGCCCAGGCTAGTCTTGAACTCCTGGCCTCAAGTGATACTCCTGGCTCGGCCTCCCAAAGTGCTGGAATTATAGGCATGAACCACCACACCAGGCCTGAATAGACTTTTAAAATGTTAAAGTCTGGCAATATGAGATGGTATCTTGTGTTCTCAGTTTCATTCATCAGGTTACTAATGAGGCTGAACATTTTTCCATCTGTTGACTGGCTATTATGTCTTTTTATAAGTGTTGGTATTTTTAACCTACTTTTTTATTGGATGTTTTTCTTGAAAACAGAACATGTGTGTGTGTATATATATATATATATATATATATGTACATATACATATATATTTTTTTCTTACTGAAGTCTTTATATATTGTGGATACCCAGGTCCTTCGGTTACATGTGTTGCAAAGATCATTTAGCAGTT